AGTATCGACTGCATGCTCTGTACGCTGGCCTTGGGTGGAAGGGTATGTGTGCCGTCTGAGGAGGAGAGAATGAACGATCTAAGCGGTGCTATCCGAAGGAGCAAGGCCAACATGGTTCACATGACCCCCTCGGTAGCGAGAGTCCTGGACTCAGACATCATCCCTTCCCTGGATTACCTTGGTTTGGGTGGTGAGGCTGTTTCTTCTAGTGATGCGGCAGCGTGGGGCCAGCACACGAATCTCGTCATTGCATATGGCCCCTCGGAATGTACCGTCGGCTGCACCATTAACAACAAGGTCCTGGTATCAACCGGTATTGGTTGGGGAGTTGGAGGTGTTACTTGGATTGTGGACCCGGAAGACCACAACCGCCTCACGCCGGTGGGAGAAGTCGGCGAGCTCATCATCGAGGGTCCCGTCGTGGGTATTGGATATCTCGACGAGCCGGAGAAGACGGCAGAGGTCTTCATCGAGAACCCAACGTGGCTCCTGGAGGGCCATGGCGACATTTCGGGACGTCACGGCCGTCTCTATAAGACCGGTGACCTTGTCAAGTATGAGGATAACGGCTCCGGCCTGATCGAGTTTGTAGGTCGAAAGGATCAGCAGGTGAAGCTGAGGGGCCAGCGAGTTGAACTTGCAGAGGTTGAACATCACCTTCAGCTCTCCCTCCCTGCCGGCGTCAAGGTCGCTGCCGAAGTCATCAAGCCCGAGAATGGCGCCCCGTCACTCATCGCCTTCTTGTCAGAGAGCTCTGGCCCGCCTTCTCCGCCCGCCTCAGAGGAGATATTTACCGAACCTTCATCAGAGCTCGAAGCCGCTATTTCGAATATCGACTCAACCATGGGCGCTCGGGTTCCTAGATACATGGTCCCGGCGGCTTTCATCACACTGGTTGAGATGCCTGTCTTGGTATCCCGTAAAATAGACCGCAAGAAACTTCGCCAGATCGGCGCTTCTATCCCGCGGGAGAAACTGAGCCGTATGCAAACATCCGACGTTGAAGAGGAGGAGCCTGAAACGCCAGAGGAGAAACAGTTGCAAGCCGCCTGGGTCAAGGTGCTCGGGAACAACACGAAGGCGTACAGGCAGAGTAACTTTTTCCACTTGGGAGGCGACTCTCTCAGGGCCATGAGGCTCATTGCCGCGGCTCGCGAGGAAGGATTGTTGCTTACAGTCGCCGACGTCTTCACCAACCCCCTATTGAGTGACATGGCTCAGAAGACGAGCAAGAGTTCTCAGACAGAGTCCAACGAGATTTCACCGTTCTCACTCCTCGAGAAGGATTGGGGTGTCGAAGCAGCGAAGAAGGAAGTGGCAGCTCTCTGCAACATTGATCCCGAGGTTGTAGAGGATGTTTACCCCTGCACGCCCTTGCAGGAAGCATTGATGGCTCTCTCAGCCAAGGTCAAGGAGGCATATGTGGCCCAGCGGGTGGTTAACTTGGATAGCCAGGCCACAGCTGATAAACTCATCTCAGCTTTCGATGTTGCCCAAAACGACTGTTCAATCCTGAGGACGAGAATCGTCCAAGTACCTGGACGGGGCTTGATGCAGGTAGTAGTCAAGGGTAAACTCAACTGGTTTGCTGGTACGAAACTCAACGAGTATCTCGCCTCCGATAGAGACGAAGCCATGGATCTTGGAAAGCCTCTGGTGCGCTACGCTGTCATTAATGAGCAGCCAGAGGGCCAAGTGAGCTTCGTTCTCACCATGCACCATGCTCTCTATGACGGGTGGTCAATGCCAATCGTCGTTGACCGAATCAACAAGGCATATCAAGGAGAAACAGTGAGCCGGCCCGCAGAATTCAAGCACTTCATCCAATACTTGTTGAACCAGGACCGCTCTTTATCCGAGAAGTACTGGAGAGAGCTCCTTGAGGGCGGAAACGGACCTCAGTTTCCCTCACTGCCCTTCAAGGGATATCAGACCCAAGCCGACTCGCTCTTGGAGGTATATGTTCCTCTGGAGCATCAATCTGCGTCCAGTACGACAACGGCCACAATCATCAGGGGCGCCTGGGCATTTGTTGCTTCCAAGTACATCAACAGTCCTGATGTTATCTTCGGAGAGACCCTGACAGGGCGAAATGCTCCCATTATCGGAGCGGAAGAGATTGAGGGTCCCATGATCACCACAATCCCCGTCCGTGTTCAGGTATACGGCGACAGCACTGTCGCGGAATATCTCCAGGAGATCCAGGAACAGACTGTGTCCAAGATCCCCCACGAGCATTTCGGCCTGCAACACATTCGTCGCCTGAGCCCCGATGCTCTGGAGGCTTGCGAGCTCAGGACTGGCCTGGTTCTTCACCCAAGCGCTGGGGACGAGCCACCCTTGGCCGAGGACCTCCCTGCCAACAGGCTCGTCCCCGCAGGCGACGACGAGGCCGCTCAGGAGGCGCTCAAGTTCAACACTTATGCTCTCATGCTCGTGTGCTCGATAGACCCCAAGGGATTCCTCGTCATGGCCAGCTTTGATTCCAAGACTATTTCCAAACCCATAATGGAGCGAGCATTGCAGCAGCTCAAGCAAGTATCTCAACAGCTATGTGAAAAATCTAAAGACCGTTTGGAAAACATCACATATCTTGCGGAGAAGGACGAGGAGGAGATCCGAGGATTGAGCCAGAGCACCGTATTTGTCGATGCACCGGAAGGGTTCCCCGAGGCAAAATCGGCTTACATCGTCAATCCTAAAAACTCAAATGTCCTTACCCCTGTTGGCGGTATTGGAGAGGTCATCTTGTGCTCTCCCAGTGACTTGGAGCTGAAGGAGATCCAAGCGCCTTCCTGGGCTGTAGGCCAACCCGAAGGCACTCGATTCTACAGAACAGAGAAGCTGGCCAAATCTGATCTCGAAGGCAACATCACCTTTGCCAATGATTCGCAACTCAAATCTGATACTGTTGTCGACTCTCGTGGCCCTCGCAAGTACTTGTCAGCGACTTCAAGGAAACAGAGAAAACTGAGGAGCATCTGGAGCCGTGTCCTGCGTGTCCCAGAGGATGATATCGGTCTGAACGATAGCTTCTTCCACATTGGAGGCGACTCCATCGCTGCCATGAAGCTTGTCTCCGAGGCTAGGGTTGAAGGAATCGTTCTCACGGTCGTTCAGGTCTTTAACAAGCGAACCTTGTACGATATGGCCAATGTGATGGAGGAGCATGGTGACGCTATCCCCACGCTGGAAACGGTTCCTGAGTTCTCTCTTCTGGGAGTTGAGAATACGGATGACTTTGTTGAGAAGGTTGTACGACCACAGCTATCCAACCCTGCCGGAAAGGTTGTCAATGTGCTGCCATCCCGCCCGCTCCAGGAGATTGCTGTCAAGGGAACCGTCCAGATTCCTCGCTTCTCCGCGCGGTACGAGCTCATGTACTTTGACGGAATCGTTGACCGCCAGCGGATCATGAAGAGTTGCCGCGATCTTGTTGCCAGGAACGAGATTCTTCGAACGGTGTTTGTACAACACGAGGGAGAGAGTTACGCTGCCGTTCTGGAGGAGCTCGAGGCGGAGTTCGTAGAGTACGAGATTGACAGCGAAGTAGAGGACTTTGCCAAGAAGGTTTGCCAGCTGGATGTTCTGACCAAGATGCCTCTTGGCTCAGCTTTTGTCAAGTGGTACCTCATCAAGGGAGGGGATGGCAAGCAGTCCTGCCTGATCTTCCGAATCTCGCACGCCCAGTACGATGAGATCTGCCTCCCTGTCCTTCTCCGCCAGCTGTCCGCCTTATATGAAGGCCAGCCCGTGAAGGACACCATCCCCTTCTCTGCCTACGTCGGCCACGTCCTCCGTAAGAGCATCCCCAGCAGCGTTCCGTACTGGAAGGACCTCCTCCAGGGCTCCTCAATCACCATCTTGAAACCGGATGCCCCTGCTGTCCACAAGAACCACTTTGCTATTGAGAAATCTCTGGACATCTCGACGCGCCCGCGAGAAATCACCGCGGCCACCCTCCCCACAGCCGCATGGGCACTGTGTCTCGCCAAACGCCTCTCCCTCCGCGACGTCACCTTCGGCGAGGTCGTGAGCGGCCGCAACATCGACTTCCCCAACGCCGACACCGTAGTCGGCCCCTGCTGGCAGTACATACCCGTGCGTGTCAAGTTCGAGCCCTCCTGGACCGGGCTCGACCTCCTCGACTACGTCCAGCACCAGCACATTGCCACCTCCGCGCACGAGTCCCTGGGCCTCAAGGAGATCGTCAAACAGTGCACGGACTGGCCCTCAACGACGGACTGGTTCGACACCGTCGTGCATCAAGACGTCGAGCACGTGGAGAGCCTTGGCCTCACCGGCACCGCCAGCCGCATGGAGACGGTCTATCTCCACGAGGAGCCGCTCAAGGAGTGGAAGATCCAGGCCTTCTTCCAGGGTGACAAGCTGACCCTTGAGATTGTCACCATTGACAGCTGGTCAGACTACGCACGCTCGCTGCTGGATGATCTCGTCGGTGTGATGCAGCAGCTGGTCCAGCAGGCCCATGCGCCCCTTTTTGAGTAGATTTGGCGGGTGTGTGTTCTTCCAAGATTTGCTCAGGTATATAATTTGCGTTGTGGTTTTTCTTCCTTTTGTTTTTGGAGGAGGCAATACCCTAGTTCCGGGGGGTGGTTAATGTTTGATATTCAGGTATAAAAATATATACATGGAGTAGTAACATCCATGGATCATTTTTAATCCTTAGCTAGCGAATCTTCGTATGTGTGATAATCATGTCCACTTTAGAAAGCGAATACTGTAAGAATCCCGCGAGAAATAGTTGAGCGGGGATTTCACTTGGGCAGTTTTCATCTAGTCTACGCGTTGGTCTTACGAATAGTTCAGTCAGGTGTCAGATAAAGGAGAATCATACAGCCGGCAGAGACATGAAGGATTTGGAATGACGTTATCTTGGTTGAGGCGTGAAACAGAGATTAGCTATCTAAATACTATGCATCATAAAGGAAGTGCTTGAGTCATTTCAGATCTCAGTTCACCTTTCCAAGACCCTATATCTACCGTGACGGCGGATATTTTTGTTTCCTTATCTTTGGTGATGGGGTCTCTACAGCCCGTTTGTACTGTGGCTCTGGCTGGAACAGTCCTGCAAGGGTCAACTGGAACAACTTACCCGACCAGACCTCGACCTCCGGTCCTCGATCATGGGGTGACTGCGGATACAAGAACTGGCCGATCCGATTGCCCAGGTAGGCTAGGCATGTTACCGGAGACCAGGTAGACGCTTCGGGCCGCGAGCGGGCATCAATCTCCTGACTATTGCTGGCCATACTCACCTTTCCCAGTAGTCGACTCTATGCTTATCTGGAGGCTGGACCGCGAGCAAAGTAAGCTGTGCGGCTGATAGCAAGATAGCATACAGAGGCGTCGAATCAGTGGGGGAGATGGACTGCATGAGCAGAGTGACGCAGCTTGCAGCTGATCACTTATCGGAATGCCCAAGCCAGCTCAGCATGGCTTGGCGTCCATCATGCTACTCCCCTCGACTAAAGGGTGCCTGATTTACAATCACCGAGGTGGTATCCGTGAGCTACTGCAGAGCCGATGAATGAATATCGTACAGTTACTGGCTGTGACTACGTTAAGTATTCAGCAACAATAGAAGAGATATGCATGATCGTATGCATCATACTATGAGCAACGTTATATAGTTGTCCAGAAAGGCAAGATGATCATACCAAGTCCCACACCGTCTCGCCCCTCTTCAGTGAGATATGACCAAAACCCTGATTCCGTGGGTTCACGAGCGAGCATAGTTGAGCGAATATGACACAGGCCAGACAGGTCAGCGAGTGTTTGATCTTTTAATACCAACCGTGGCTCGGCTGTCACTCCTCCCCTTCGGCCAACCCCAGGAAACTAAATAAACCTTGGGAGCCGGCCACCGTCTAGGCACATGTGCTGCCTGCATGAGGCATGCCCTCCTCACGCACCCGGAGACACTCCGCTTGCCAAGACCCATGTGAAACATGCGACGCAGCTCCAACTACCACCCCCTCCTTCTCCGAGCTGTGTGAACGTTCGAGTTGCCCCTCACCCTTCCCTGCAGCAAGGCGACAGCTCCTCTCCCCCCCCATCCCTCCAATGGGGCACCGGGGCGCTGCAGAGCGCCGAATCTGGACGAGGATCTGGCAGGTCTGTTTTGACAGGGGACACTAGAGAGGGACCGGAGTACGACGATGTAACCTGGGGGCCAGCACGATCTCCGGGGAGGGGTCTCCCTCGGGTCCCCTGCTCGAAGGGATGTTTTGGCCAAAATGTGACGGAGGTCGGGTTGCCCAAAATCACCACCATGAGCTGATGGGATTGGAAGGGAGTCTTGCCGACCACATGTAAGTCATTCGCCAAACCGGTCGCCTCTTGCATTCAGGCCAGAGAAAGATGGGTGGGCAGAAATGGCGGTGAGGGGGGCCGTTGAGGCAGCCTTCGAAGCTGCGTCGGGATGATGCTGCATTACGAGCAGAGTGTAGACATGAGCAAGTGGGAGTGGGTTGCTCGAGTTGAGATGTGGAGGACGCGAGATGAAGCAGTCGTGGTGGGCTTCTCCCTGGCGTCACTGCCCGCCCGCAAGCACAGGCGCGTCCGCAGTGGCGTGCATTGTTCGTGGCCTCCTTGCCTCTCTACCGCATGTTGTATATCCTTGCTAGCATGGCCCGAGGGATTGGTCCCAGGTGCGTGTGCCTGGCCTGGGGGAGGACCTACATCTGAGTCTCCCTGGTTTAGAGTCTAATGTTGGCACTCAAAGAGCAACGCATGTAAGTGAGCACGAGGCCGCCCAGGGAGCGCAGTTCGATTTGTACATGTCCATCCATGTACATACAGCACACACACTACCCACAGGATATGCACACGGAGAAGCTCATGTTGGATCCGATTTTCCAAAGTGGCGATTTTGGCATGCTGCACTCATGTCATAGGCCGACGACTTGTCCAGAGGGCAGGACTACAACTTGCACTATTAGGTGTACTCCGTGGATGGCTTGCGCGTACACCGTTTAGACCTGAGAGGGAGGAAAATCAACAAATCGACTGGCCTCAATGATCCCCGAGTACTTTCGGGCAGCGCCGAAATTCTGATCAGCCACGGACATCACTGTGTGACCTGGGATAGAGGGCAGATGCCGAGTTGGCAACGCCCCTCAGTCTAGACCGTGTAATCCAAGGACTAAGGAGGAAACCGAGGTGGTGGTGGCTTGAATCAACCGACGGGTCTGGCAACAAAGCGACTCCGGTACTGCCGGCTGAGGCTGAGGAGAGGAGGGTGGTTGGGTTTGGGGTTGGCAAGGAACAGACTCTCGCCACTGGCAGTTCTGGTGGCTAGTGTGTGCCTACTAGTCTGTTCCGGTGTGGCATCTCAAACCAGTCCCTTGGATCTGCTTCTCAGTGCGAAAGAGAGTTTTGGTTGCATACCCTCCAATGATGACGCCTCTGATCTGGATGAGATTAGGCCATCTGACCATCAGGATGAGCGCACAGGGACATGTTTCAATGCCGTAAGAGTTACATGTGCATAGAGGGCACAAGCAGTCAGAATCTTTTTTTTTCCAGCTACTGTCTGTCATAAGCCTGTTTGTGCTCAATGTTGCGCCTCACCAGTGTACACTGCGCATAGACACGCATATGAGCCTCTCCAAGTGCTACCTTGGGCCATATTGATAACACTTACGGTGCTCAGAGGGATATACGGTAGGTCCGGCATGTAAGTCAGAAAGATGGATGACGGGGGTCTAAGCAAGGCAGGGCAAGCAGGGTGAAACCGCATACGGTTGGAGAGTGAGAGACAGGCACCACGTGCCACCTGGGCTTCTTACATACCTGCGTGCCTGGGCGTACTCGCAGTGAATCATATTGGATCTTTTTGACACAAGCTGGACAATAATCGGTTTCATCCGGCGTACCTGCCAGCTGACGGATCCTCCGACAGGTACCAAGATTCGCCTTGCTTGTTGGCCAGCCTTCTTTTTTTCCCCCGGCTGCCCTTTATCAAGAGTGAAGGCGGGATGTAGCTCTCATATCGATAAAAAATTCAATATTTGTTAGCCTCCCCGCCTTTGTCTAAAAGCTGCGGATCCGAAGGTGCTTTGGCCCTGTCCTGTATGTGCCTGTGACGGCCCACAGCAGTATCAGGTTGCGAATGCATGAAGACGAGGGCACCGCCAGTCGTTGGGACGTTGACCGATGTTAGTACGATGCCGTTTATTCATGTTTGCTTTTTCTTGTCACGTAACCACGTGCGAGGCAGGGCTCCTGGCATGACATGGCCAAGCAGGGATCTTAGCACATACATAAGTGCGTATGTACGTGTGCGCATCTGGGCGAGGGGTCGGTAAGAGAGAGGCACCGCGAGGAATTCGACCCATTCTCAGGTACCTGCCAACGCTAGAAGGCAACATACATACCACCAGCCTTTGCTTTGCCCTGTAGGTATGTATTAGCTCAGGCCCTGGTCCTGGAGGCTCGAGCCCCGCCACCAAGTCAGCAGGTGAACCAGTGGACAGGGCCCGTGTGAGGGTGTGGATCGATTTCGAAAAAGGCACCCTCCTCGCCATCGGATTGGTTACACACTCCCTTAGCACTTGGGGATCAGGCCCCTCCGTGCCTCCCAAGGTACGGCCAGGTACTTAAGGTACAGCACCGGGCCCTCCAGGGGTCGTACGGTTAGTGGGTAACCACGGGCGCGAATCGTGAAAATAATAGATGATAGACTATAGCATCCATCGGACGGCCATGCTTGCTAGCGCCCTGATCACAGATCCTCAGGACAACGGCGACAGACGGTCACTGACCGGTGAGCGCACACACTTGCCCGCCTGGAAATATCTCGACATCTCCAAATGTGCGAAACACCTCCCCTAGTGCGCGGGATGCCATGTACTGCCCAGGGCCCATCGTACCTTAGTCTTCCAGCTGCCGAGTGATGCAATGGCTGCTTGCAGATCAGTCCTAGTTCCGAAATCTTGTGTTCGAGGACACCCAGCTTAACAGGTAGATTCTCAAGTGTGTGAGGCGCTAAATTCCAGAGGGCCACGGATGGTCCAAAGTTCAAACCTCAAAGACCACCAGACTCTGTTTTCCCAGGGCGGTCCATTAATACTACATGTCGCAGCCAATGCCAGAGGAGCCAGCGTCATCGCAGACATGGGGCTGGCTGTAAGAAGCCCGCTTGCCCCCAACCAGGTCAGATGGAGGATGGAGATGGGTCAGGCACGGGCTGGCTGTTTGTTCACCGCCGCGAGCGAGCTGAATGGACTCACGCACATACGCACACACGACATACGGGAAAGACAGAAGTCGGTGTTGGTCGAGTGGGCCGCCCGCTCGGGTGGGTGTAGCTGAATAGATTTAATCGGGTGCTCTTGTGGGTAGTCGGGAGACAATCAACGGCACAATACCATACCATTGCGACCACGGGAAAGCTCTTGCACGCTGGTCGATCTCGAAGATGGAGAATGAGTCAGTGCAGGCATTCTTATTCAGCAGGGAGTGCTTTCCTCGCCTTGCATGCGTCATGTGCCATCGTGTGCTCTGACCCTTCATGTTCACCGAACTAGCAGCGGCTGGAGGGGTGTCCACAGGGGCACCGGCCAGCGCCATGGCCCAGCCCAGGTATCTGCTAACGCAGGTGTGTAAGAGTAGTAGCATTTTGGCAGTAGAGGGGTCCGAGCAATGGGGATGGGACCCCTCACATGAGTCGCATGAGAGCGAGCTGCAAGATGCCAGTGACGAGGTACTTAAGATAGATACTGCAGCTAGCCGCTCGACCAGGAGGTATGTAGATACGCTTTTAGTGCACCCTCCAATTCATGTCTGTGAATCGAATCCATCGAGACACATGAACGAACCCTGGCCACGCACGCACAGAGCCCCAGTCTGGGTTTAGGGACCGTCGTCATCTGGCAGGTGAGTACCCCTCTTTGAGCCCTCTTCGAGCCCGCTTCAGGCCCTCAGCGAGTCCTCCAAGCGCTGGACTCGAAGCCAGGGCCCGCCCACACTCGCGCTAGCCTAGCGATAAATCATGGAGGTGACCTGTACCTTACTTGCGTCTCCATTACAGTGGGCTGCGATGCCCTCTGCTTCCCTTTTTTTTTTTTTCGCCCCTTGCGCCGCTCGTCAAGAGACTTTGACGGTGCGCGCACATCTATGGATCTTGTCTGAGTCTGCTCATCGGCCAAGTGGTGTGGCAGGGCATGCGTTGCGACTCTCCCGCCACGTCTGTCCAGAACGGCCAGCGCAGAAAAGAGGCATACCGGCCTCGTACCAGCAGGACCTCACCCTAACCACGAGCGGAGGAGGCTTTCTAAATATACATGCCGACCAAACCTCTAGAGCTGATCTTCTGGTCGAACGAGTCTGGCTGCCGGGATGCCAGAGCCTTTCGGAGGATAAGCTTGCCCAGATGCCCCTGCAACGTGTCCGGCGACTCAGCCGTCCCGTATTGCCTATCGCCATGGCTGCATTTGCGTGATGTGTCTTTGACGGGATGTGCATGAATTTTGATAAACACCATCCTCGTTGACAGTAATCCGTGTTGTCATACCATAATCAACGCCCTGTCCGACCAGTGAAGGCCCTGTCAGTCACACCTCGCTAGGAGGCAAAGCAGCAAAAGCGGGCGACTAAAAAGAGAATGGATGCCTTTGCGGAAGCATGTGCCAAGTCATGCCCCATCACGACTCCGCCCGTCCAGCACCAACATCCACAGCATCATCCACAGCATCATCCATACCATCCACAACTCTGCTCAAACCACCACACTGCAATACCGGCCGACAAAGATCCAGCGGGCCAGCGAGCTAGGACGTAGGTTAGCAGCTAGCTAGCGATCTAGCTACCAGCTTGCTTGCTTGCCTGCCTGCGTTCTACGACCGAGGCCACCGCCAGCCTCTACATTTCTACAAGTCCCGGCCCAAGTTACGTAGCATGTAGCAGCTTTGCCCTGCTCCGACTGACACTCCTACCACCAGCCAGATTCCGTATCCCAAACAGTTTGCTGGCCGGCCCTTCTCCCCACCCCCCATCCCCATCCCGAAGGGTCCGTGTCGGTCCCTGTCTCGCTTTTTTTTCTTACCCACGCCCTTGCTGCTGTGTGTCGCCGGGCCTCGATTTAGCAAGGGCTGTCTTACCCATCCCGCCCAGGCATCCGCCACGCTGCGAGATAAAACCAACGTACCTACTTACTGTACCGCAGGGGCAGCGATCGCAACGAGCAGTGCAGCATCTTGCTTCGGCCTTGTGGTGCTACTGGGCGCCTCGCTCCGAGGTGGCCCATGTATACTTGCAAGTAGATAAGGGTCACTTGGATGGAGGCAATATTGGATGTAGGCTAGCAGATCTGGTACCTTAGTATGGAACCTAAGCTACATGCATCAAGCCAAGCTCCTGGCCACTAGTACCTAAGTTAGCACGAATAGCTGAGCAGGTGGATGGATTGCTACATGCTCCCCAAGATTGGTCGGTCACACACCTTACACGCATATTCAGGTTCGCCCCAAAGGTGGTTGGTTGACGCTCAGATGCTCCGGATCCGGACCCCGCCAGGTATGACCAGGGCTGACCAGGGCATCGATCCCAAAGGGCCAATTGCTGCCCTCGCCGCCTTCATCCACTCATGGCAACGTTGTCCCTGCCTTGGGCCTGCGGGCGGGCTCGTCGCTCTGATCTCCGTGTCTCGCTCTCCCGGCTGCCTGATTTGGCTCGAGACTGCTGGCATCCAGAATAACGTCAGAACATAGGCGCTGTGCCCCGCCAACCGCCTAGTGTCATTCCCGTCCTTAGTCCTTAGCGTAGTGGCTCTGGAGTCTTGCGTCTTGCGTTGCGTCTTGGCCCGTCCTGAGCCCCGCCAGCCTCCCTCCAACGGACCTGCGCTTGCCCTGGCCGGACAGACTGAGAGGCGTCTCATGCGCACTGCAGCAAGCACCTTCTCTTTTCCCCTTCCATGGATGCCACCACCCCAGGGTTGGCGAACGACTGTGCTGTACCCAGTTGTACCTTACATCAAGAGCCCTTTGAAACCGATACAAGCCTCCATCCATACCCACCCCTACCTGGCCCGGTAGTACCTTGATTCTGATCTTTCTTCCCTGGTAGCTACCACCTCGGGTTAGGTTAATACGTCGCCTGCGACACAACAGCCAGCGCTTTTGGTCGCCGGATCCTTTGAACCTCCTCTCCACCTCTCCGACCTCTCGATATTTCTCTTCCACAAAGGAGCCATCTTACGAATACCGCGCACACTTCCCACGGCTCTGGTGCTGTCCGGCGTTTCAAGGAGCCAGCCCCGCATCCTGCTGCATCTCTCCCCTACCCTATTGTCCGAGACGTCTCACCATCCTGCACATTGGCTCGGTGCTCTCTCGACTCGCTCAGCCTCACTAGCAGCGGGCGCAGCGCATCCGGGAGCGCTCGCATCCTGCGACCATTCAAGACCAGCAGCGGTCCTCTCCTCTCCCTGCCGGTTCAGGTCCCACCCTCTTGATCTTTTTTTCTGCCGCCATCAACGCATCGCCGAGGGTCATCGTCGCTTGACCATCGTTTCCCCTCGTTGCTACCCCGTCGTCATGGCCGCGGCCTTTCGACCAGTAAATGAATCCGCCCTTGCCACAGAGGACGTCATGACGCCATCAACCGCAACACCACGCCCCAGTACGGCACCGCACTCGCACTCGGCCAACGAGTTTGACGGTTCTACGACGCCGACTCGATCAACATTTAGTCCCTCCGTCGCCGGCCAGAAGCCCCTCCCAACAGCCAGCTTCCCGCACCTCTCCCACGCAGCAACCGGGCCGGCCGGTCGGCCAAAGAATGAAGTACCTCACCAACCACACATGCCTCCGCAGCGACGAGACTCGATGGATATCGACATGGACGGTTCTGATGGGGAGACTGGAGTTGGCGACGATGGGTTGGGCTCCGACGACGACAGTGTGAATGCCGACGGTACACGATCCGGCAAGAAGAAGAAGTCCCAGCGGTTCTACTGTACTGATTATCCTCCCTGTAACCTGAGCTTTACCCGGAGTGAGCATTTGGCGAGGCACATTAGGTTCGTTGCATAGCAGTCTGCATCCTTTTTTATCTGTGGCCTTTGGCGACTGACATGCTGGATAGAAAGCACACCGGGGAGCGCCCTTTCCAATGCCACTGCTCGAGACGCTTTTCACGCCTGGACAACCTGCGACAGCACGCTCAAACCGTCCATGTCAACGAGGATATCCCCATTGATTCCCTGGCTGCTACCGGTTCCAGGTTCCAGAGACAGATTCGGACCGACCGTGTGCGGCAGGCTGGGAACCGAGCCAGGGCTTCCACTGGTGGGAGTGCTGGTGGCCCGCAGAGGGGACATTCCAAGTCGCTATCGACCTCGAGCATCAATAGCATCAGCTCCGTTGGATCCGTGTTGAGTACGTCTGCTGACTTTCGACGGCGTCCTCCCCCACTCGTCATGGCCGACCCTCGAATGAGACCTACTGACGGCTTCTCCTACTATCCAGCATCCCCCAGTGATTTTAGTACTCCAATGTCGGCGACCTTCTCAACCGGGCGTTCAAGCCCTCGCTGGGGTTCTGGCATAGCATCACCCACAGGCGGCCATTCGCGTTCGCAGAGCTTGTACAAGCCTGAGATCCGCCCCCAAGGCCGCCGTCTAAGTGTACCATCCGCAGCGAATCCTTTCCAGCCGTCGGGGGTTTCTACTCTAGGGCGCCCCTTATTTGGAGGTCCAGGACCAGTGAACAGTTCCAATGTCGGGGCTTTTTCGCCAACACCAAGCAATCTGGCCACTTCACCTTCAAACCCAGGCACTGGATGGGGTGGGCGAAGAGATTCGACTTCAAGCAATGCAGAGGAGGCGTGGAGGAGGCGCACATGGCATCCTGATAGCTACAACTACGCTCACAACCCTACACAACTGAACAATGTTGCCAACCAGTCTACCATCGGCCCGCATCCGCCTCCCCCTATGGCGAACCCATCTAACCCGAAATCCTCCCTTCAGCTGCCAGGCATCGAGTCTTTCGACAACCCGGCGGCTCATATGCCATCTACTCCACCTCGACCACAGCCAACGCCCATGATGGTCGATGTACAGCCTCCCCCACCTGGCCCTCCAAGCTTGCGAACGGTTGGACGTGATATGAACGACGATCGACGAAACCTCAATGTCTACGACGCCAGTCTGCAGCGTGGCCTCAACCGCCTGGACATCAATCACTCCACCCCACCTCGAGAGACAATCGGTTCTTGGGCGTCAGAAGCCAACAAGGCGGCTGCCCAAGTCGAATACGAGCGTGCTAGCCAACCCACGGTCCGCTTCGAAGCACAGCCCATCCCTCTCACGCCTTATCAGAATGGCCCTCCGCATGGCTCATTACACCACCACACCATGTCTGCTCCTTCATTTACCACGTCCAGGGAGGGCAAGCGTCGTGGTTGGTACAATGGACCGATGGCCACTCATCACGAAGGTGTGCAGCGGCCTCCACAGGACCCCCGCGTGGCCCACGTCGATCGCATGGTTCATCCGAATTTCAACGGTTTTAGTGGGTTTCTGGCCCGCGAACAACGGCCTGCGATGCCGCAGCCCCCGCAGCAGCAATCGGCCCAGAATGACGATACCCTCCGACGTCTTGATGTCCTCGTAGCTGTTGCTACTGGAAAGGGATCCACTGCCACGGCGTATTGACCATGTTTCCCTTCGCCGCCACGGCACACACATATATAGCTCTCATTCCTGGGAGCTGATCTTCAAACACCATTTGAACACCATTTACGTTTATATTTTTTTTTCACTTTCACACAAACGATGACGATTTGACTCCCCTCACTATCTCTGAACGATACATGACTGTCGCTTATGATATACCAATGCTTTCCTTCGCATGCTGCAAGCATTGTTTTGCCTTGTTACTTCTCTCTTTTTCATTTTCAAAGACACGACTTCATCATCCTTGATCTTCTTTCACGTTTCAAATTAGCCTGCTTTTATCGTCATTTGACCGGATTGCGTTGGCATTGGGGCGTCTTTTGTACTACTCCAGTACTGTTAGGTGCTGATTTCATTTTTGACTCTTATGATTCCTGGGTTTAGATGGATGCGTCTCACGGTTACCTGGGTTTGGTTATTTGTTTCAATTCTCTTTTTATCCTTTTTATCATTCCTCAGCTTTTATTTCCCTTCTCTTGCATCCTGTTTTTTTTCTCTCTTTTGGATTATGACTTGATGAACCGTTTTACCCTTCAGTTTGAATCGGGTGAGATTTTTAACGACATTATACGAGATACCTACTCACTCGATGTGGATAAGTCAGGAGTGCGAATCCTAATGGCAGCAAGTGTTCGGCAGGACATTGAATGTTCTATTCTATGCATATATCGGAAATGCATGGGATGGCGTCGGATCTTTCTGGAGAGATATGCTTCACAGGGGCCTCGGATTGGATATGGAACCCCGAGTAGCGGGTCTTTGGATGTGATACCCTTAGCCTTTTGTGTTTGTGTGTGTTTGGTCTGGGACTTGCTGGTTGGCAAACAGGATTTTCAGTTCTTTTATTAGAAAAGGTGTACTATCGAATAGCGGTAGTAGCTTCAGCGATGGAATCTGAGTACGTAGTGGGTAGCTACAACAAACACTATTCCCCCCACAACAGTTCCGTGAGTAAATTGGCCTGGACCCTGGCTCGGACTTGGACTTGCTTGGACTTGGGGGCTTGAACTTGGAGCTGGCTTTGGCCTCCTCCCCCCCTGGGCTACACAATGTCCGTACTGACTGGTCACTGTGCTCCATCTCGCGTAGCTAGGGGGCCTTTGTTCGACAATGCCGTGACGTGACACGGCATGCTGCAGCATTACATTGATGTTAATCCAGATTGGAGCGAGGATGCGTTAGCCTCCACCGACAGTCTCTGCCGAGTGGATTACCCCGACTTTTACGAGTTGGAGGCCAGGTCAACATACCGGGGTTGAAGGGCGGGCAGGAACTGGAGCTATATTATACGTTGGTAAGATGCAGTTGACCTGCCACCTGCAACCGTTCAACCTCCCCTCCCCAGCAGTTACATGCAGGCAACATGTGAAAGTCGGGGTGTGGTGCAGGACTATATGTATCGATGGCTCAAATATGCACGCTGGAGCGACAGACGCCGGGGAAGCATCACGAAGGAGGGGGGGATGAGGAGGGGGGAGAGGCCCACTGGACCCAATCAGAGGAGGGGGGAGAGGCCCACTGGACCCAATCAGAGGAGGGAATTGGTGCCCCAGACAGATCCCTGGCGAGGCGTGGGCCCTGGGGCGAGCAGACTTCTCAGAGGAGGGTGTGAGACCTTGTGTGAGGCGAGCCGTGCAGGCCTGTCACACGACCCTTTTATTGTGGATAGCCAACCTGGCACTCCCAACGCTGGAGGTACATAGGCATGGAGATGGGTGTTTTCTGTCAATGCTGGGCCCAGGGGTCCATTTGACACCAGATTGTCTAGTTGCACAAAGCAGAACTGAATGGTGTCCAAGTCTGGGCTCGCTGATGGGCCGGCGGAGGCGAGGCGAGAGCTGCATTTCGGGTGCAGCTGGAATGAGCTAGGCCAGTCCACCCCCGGTTGCTGCTAAACACGGCAAGGGGAACAGAACGCACGGTAGGCGAGTGGGAGGCCCATTTCACCCTCGGCACTAACCTAGCAGCGTCGTGCATCAAGCAAGCAAGCATCCATTGGAAGTGTGCCGGCGCACTCTACAGACTGGCCTGGCGCTTAGGCCTACACCTCAGCTGTGCGCCGAGCTAGCGAGTGAACAAGCGGGGGGCTCCGCGAAGGAAGCAACCGACCTGATACTACGGCGTACCTAGTGTACAGTCATTATTATAGTAGACTGGTGAAGGTGGGAGATCGGGATCACTCCCCCATCGATATCCTTCCCAGGACGGGATTGCCGATGGATCGGGTGACGAAAAGCCACCCGGATGCAATCGACAATCGCGTCGAGTTTCCCTTGCCCAGCTCCCCCCCCTGCGCCTCATCTAGATGGACATTCAACGCAGGAAACGGCGAGACAGCAATCGTATGAGCACGCCGGCTCGCTAGTTTTGAGCAGCGAATGACTAGCGGTAGGACCAGTTGTGGCCACAAGCGCGGAGGCTGAACCTGGAAGTGGGACGCAGCGGATGCTACACAAACCTTGGTTCTCGAGCGACCAGCCCTTGTCCCTCTTAGGGCGGTCGGGGAATCGTACATATTTGCATCATGCCCAGATGTCAGGCGAGTGCCAAAGCAAATCTATTTGCGAATATCCCGCTCTCCAAAGCAGACGATCCCGGCTGGACCCAGTCTAGTACAGAGCACCCTGTCAGGACTGCCTTGGCTTCGAACCCGGGGAGGAAATAGACATAAAGGACCCCTTGCCTTGCCTTGACCTCAGGAGTGTGCGGCAATCAGAGTGACGTGTTTCGTTTCGTTCTTGTCTGCTGCCCGTCTCCGTCGACGTCTCACCCGCAACAGACCGCAACTTGTTTTCCGGCGCCCCCATTGTCTCTCGTCTCTCCTGTCCCCCAAGTGAACTGCACGCGACCTGGAATCAATTGGGGAGGGCCCAGCCCATGATGTGATTGCGGCAAGAGTCTTACCAGGAGCGAATCAACCCGCCCATCGGCTGCACAACCCACTTCCCACTCCGGCGCTGCAGCATTCCGATCCTCGCCCGAAGCGTCAACCCTATCTGGCTGTATCAGAGCGACTCGCTGCGCAACCAACCCGCGGCAGCAATTGGGCTACAAAGTTCGAGCAAAGTTCGGGACTTTGGTCTTTGACAGCCCATACCAGCACCCAGTTCCCAATATCCCAGTCCCCCAGTCCCAGCCCGGGCCGGCCCTAACAGCAGCTGCACCTACCGTCTTCGCAGCAGGCCCGCACTATCGCGTGCAGCACCGGATTACCACCGCCTGCCTGCTGAACCTAGCGCCACCAGCCACCCACTGGGCCATCCCACGGAGTCCGCCCATCAGCACCCAAAAGACCCATAATCCGTTTGGCCAGGGGCGTTACAATTGCCTCGACCTCCCGATCGTCGCCCCCCTCGACAAGACGAGTCAAGATCCCTCTGGTCCACTTCGCTTTCCCCTTTGCATCACCGGACCTGGGCCTTGGTCACGCAGCTGCTCAAATCTCGTCGCAGCAACGGCCGGCCTGATCGTCCCCTTTAACAATTAAACCTTCCCACCCCCATATCTGCCTTCTCCCGCATAACTGTCTCACTCTCCCTCCTGCGAAAACGCGCCCGGCACTAGCATTATAAGCTTGGGCTTGTCTTGATTGTCTTCAGCGGAGCCCATTGTGTCGCATCGCTTGCGGCTCCATCGATCGCCCCCAACCGGCGTTCAGGTTCCTTTGAATATCGGCCACCCAAGATATCTCAGCTGTGCCGCCTTCTCAAACCCCCAATTACTGTTCTAACCGATCAATTCGATCGATTGACTTGTTGGCTGTTGGTTCGCGATTCTGGGCTTACGGTTGATGCACCTGCGCCGCCGCAAGACCCGACGTCATGATCTTTTCAGACTTCTACAAGGGTCCGCGCTCGCCGCTGGCGAAGCTGCGCCCACACCTCCACTTAGCACCACCACAAAATAATACCCAACCGCCTCCAGTGGTTCTCTCGCCAAGCACCATGGACGCAACTGCCCCCGAATGGACGCGCGAGGAGTACTCCGACCTCCTGAGCAAGGACAAGACCAAGGTCAAGGAGGCCGTCAAGCGGTATCTGGCCGACCAGGTCCGCACCGACTGGGATTTCACCTGGCCGCCGTCGCCTGAGCCCGCCAATATCGATGAGATCGTGAAGCCTCTGTCGCCCCCTGCGTCCGAGAAATCAGGCGTCGCAGACCTCGAGGGTGCGGACGAAAAACCAGACGTCCAGGGTCTCGATGGCGTGAATGACGTGCCGGATGAGATCGACGACGATGCGGGATACCAGGCTGACGATGGTGACGAGGATGATGATCTGCGGGACGCCCCTCACATTGACGATGGGGCGTCGATCTACAGCTTCATGTCTGAGGACCCTCTGCACTACAAGCCTCTCGAGGAGTGGGACTCGGATGCCCCCAACGACGAGTTCTCGCCCATGGAGGAGGTCAGCCCTGAGCGTCTGGCCCACGAACAAAATATGACGGAAGCTGAGAGGCAAGCCGAGAAGCGACGAGCTTTGAGGCAAGAGATGGAGTGGAACGAGGGTCTTGCTTGCTTCGAAGCCAGGCGCAATGCTTGGACAGAGGCCAGAACTGTGCGGTTACGACGAAAACCCGGTGTCGTTTCGCCCATCAGCCCAACTCGCTCCCCTCGCCGCTTCTTTTTCCGCAGGTCCATGTCGAGCACCCCATCTACACCATCGCAGAGTGTCCCGCCTGTGAGCGCAATTTCTGTCTCTCTATCCGAGGTGACCCCAGAAGCGGACGAGTCGCAAAAGTCGCCTGATAGGGACTCGACTTCAAACATTTCGCAAGAATCGGGTGTTTCGTCATATCCGGTGGCGACCATTGTGCCACTTGCGTCGCCAATCCTGCCCCCTGGCAACACTCTGCGGGCCTCGATCCATCCCAGCCACTATCTGCAGCTTTACGATAAGCTTATTCTCAGCAGCCTGACCCCCTCCTGCCCTGTCAACCTCTCTGATATGATTAGAGCCTGCGTCGCCGGCTGGAAACGAGACGGCGAGTGGCCTCCAAGACCAACCATCCCTCTTGAGCCTACCTTTGCCCCTGTGATGGCGACGAAGAAGAAGAGATCTTCTTTCGTCGGGCAAAATGATAGCGGATTTGCCGGGCGCCGTATGAGTTTCACTGGGCTACTGTCCCGCGACAAGGACGGCGAGTCTCGGAACGGGAAGGGCGTGCGACAAAGTATCCAGAGGGCGCTCGGCATCCATCCCTCTCTTCCACATGACGCACCAGTGACAGTTGAAAAGGCCCAGTAGTTGGTGGGGTCTTTTGTGTAATTCCAACATCACAGAAAGCGAAAGCGAGTGTATATGAACTCTACGAGATATGATATAAGTTGGGAGCAATATGAAATTAACCGGTTTTTAAGGGTGGCGTCTATAGTTCTAGATGAGGCACATCTGGCATGAATACCCTTTCCTGCTCATCTTGGCGCGTTGTTGTTGCTGTCGTTATTGTCATCGAAGGGAAACAAGGCTTTATATTCAATTCATTGCATTGCTGGGTAACAAATGCAGATACGGGGCAGGCTTACACGGAGAGGAAATTTAGTCCTACGCTTATACCCCCTTTCCTTTGATCGGTTCGACGTCCTCGTTGGTTGTTTTTTTCTGGGCTAAATCTCTCCGTTGTTTGGGATCATTTTGTCATCGCCGGTGGCGTTTTTCTTTTCTACTTTGACACCTATTGTTATTCAACTATCATGATAAATAAAGTATTAGCATGGGGCAGAACGAATGGAGATACTATTTCGAAGTAATTGGTTTAGCATTGTGTGGCAATATTAAGAGTGTTGGCTAAAACAGCGTTGATTCCGCTGGGTACCTTCCCTGAACTTTGTGCTTCAATTATGGTGATGTTGAGATGTCAACCGAATTCAATGCGAGATATTCTAATTAGATTACTTTCTGTCTAATTGATGCATTCCATGGCCCTCAATGCCCTTCTAGCGCTCTGAGGAAAGACCTGCTCTCGTTTCCTTGGACGACCTTGGCCAGAGGGATTGTGTATGCGCCGGGCTGCGAGTTCTGGACGTGCTGGATATATGACCTCGCCACGTTTAGCCAGCTGGCCCTCTCCGCGCGGCTGGCGCCCTGGCCCTCCCAGACCCAGATTGCCGACCCGGCATCGTCGACCAGGAAGACATCGTTCCCGTCCAGGTCGCCCGCCGACAGGGAGGGGCCCTGCTTGACGACCTCGAAGGAGAGGGCGCCCGAGGCGTCGCTAAGGCGGAAGAGCTTCTTGTCCTGGCCTTGTGACGGCGGCGACCTGGTGGCGACGGGGCGGGAGTGTCTGAGGCCGGCTCTAGGTGCCCCGTCGTCGCTGCCGAGCAGGCTGAGCACGCGGCTAGCCCTCGACTCGGTCTGGGAGACGACCTCGACGTCGGCGTGCTTAGCCTGTGTCATGTCGTGGGCGACCTGGGACGCCTTGGCCTTCTCGAAGGGGCTGGAGCCCTTGCCCTGCCAGACCCAGATCTTGTCGCCGGCATCGAGGACGAAGACGTCGCCGTCGTCGAGGCTCTGCCAGGTGGGCTCCACCTCGTGCACGATGACGCCGTCGGCGCCGCCGGAGGGGTTGCTGAACACGCGGAGGAGCGTCTTGGTCTCCGTCTTCTCGGGCTGCTCCTCCTCGACGTGGCGGAAGCCGGTGCTGACGCCCCCGGAGAGGATGGAGATACGGGGGAACAGGGAGAGGAAGTCGTCCGAAGGGGAGCGCTGGAGCTCGCGGTGCTGGGTAGCGGAGCCCTGGAGGAACTCGTCCAGCTCGACGGTCTTGTAGGCGGCGGTGCCGGCCTCGTCCTGGGTGGTGTGGGCGCCGAGCCAGAAGAAGATGTCGTGGATGAGCCTCTCCTGGCTACTACCGCTACTACCGATCTTGACGGAGTGCAGCACGATGTAGCTGTCGCCGGAGTGGAACCTGCCGTGCTTCTCCCGGGGCCAGGGGACGACCTGGAAGTCCTCGATGCGCCAGACGAAGAGGCCCGGGGACCGGCCGATCTGGCCGTCGTTCCAGGCCGGCTCGGTGGCGGCCGAGTTGTACTTGACGCGGTGGTCGATGTCGGAGCCGATGAGCTCGACGTTGCTGTCCTCGATGTCGTACTCTTTGAGGTGGACTAGGCCTGCGTTTGGAGCCATTGGTGCGGGAGGTTGTTGCCTTGATTGAGGGGTGTAGATGATGGGGGAATTGTATTGTAGCGTTCGCCTGGGATATTTTGGGTGTTGGGATGAGTTGCGCTCAAACCAGTCGACTGTGAGGTAGGTGATCGTCGAGGCTTACGCCATGCCGCAGCTTGGGTGGGGCGTATGGCAGCACCTCAAACAATCGCTGCCGTGTTAGTCGGGAGCCAGTTGCAAGACTCGGTGAATGGCTGATACGCGAGAGACCGTTGGAAAATCAATTCACCCCTTCACATGAATAAAACGAACAGGGAAAGAGAATAAATAGTCTGTTTGATTGATGAATGCGGGTTTCGTGATTCATTTCTCGTGGCATTGGTATTAGATATCTCATGTCATCTACCAATGCTATTGACGACGCTTGCCACCATGACAGCGACCTCCCGGTCCAGGTTCACCTGCGTCTTCTCCTTGTCCTTGATTGTAGATAGAGCGGGTGGCGTCAGGCAGCCCTTGATGACCGCATGCCGGATGTGCTCACCCAGATTGACCTTGTTGCTCTTCAGCGTCCTGGCCACCACACCGCCGCGGTTCATGATTTCTTGGACCCGCCCGCTTAAGCTGCTAGCCATTGTCCGCCAGTAGTAGGAGGGCAGCGAGCCTGTCTCGAGATGGGAGAGCAAAGACTGGAGGAGAGATGGCTGTTTTGACTCCAGGGTCTTGGGTAGTAGGGGATGGGCGGGTGCTTTGGTAGCCTCGAGGATGATCTCGAGCGCTACAATGTTTTGGCATTTGGCAGAGACCTCGACCAGGGACTTTTCCAGGGTGGGGAGCTGCCCTAGCGACCTTGCCAGAGTCGCAGTGCCCGTCTGGAGGGCGAGGCGGATGTAGGCCTCGAGCGCCTGGAGGAGGAAGCGCGGCTTCCACTTTTCAAGGTCGATGCCGACGGTGGGGGAGAGGAGATACAGCGTGATCATGGCGCAGACCATGCGCGAGCGAGCTTCGTCGCCCTGGGCAAAGGTCATGGAGGCGGGCATAGAGAATTCGCGAATCGTCCGCTCGGCCGACTCGCGGACATTGCGCTCGGCGGGGGCAATGACTGTGTCTTGCAGGCTGCGGATCGCATCCACGCGAGACAGCCCGTGGCCTTCTTCGCCGGGGGCTTTCTTGTCCAGGACCTCCCTCAGCTGGAGGATGGTGTGGGAGCACCGCACCATGGCTGTGTAGTCGGCGTCTTTGCCGGATCTCCCAAGCTCCGAGTATTGGACCTCAAGCTGCCTGCCGAGCTGAAGGCACCTACCCACGGCCCTCCCTAGCCGGAGGGTCTCCCATAGACGAAGGGCCACCTGGCGTACCTCATCGGCCTCGGCATGCTTGTCAATGACTTCCTTCTCGAGCTGCCTGTAGCTGTCATTGAGGCTCTTTATCTGGTTGTCGAGCTCGGAGAGGATCCGGCGACTGGAATTGGTCTGGTCCTGGGTGTATTTCAACAGAGGGACGGCCGACCGCGAGGTGAGGAGGTCGATGCGGGAGTCGACCTCTTGTGCATCGAAGAGGACTCTGGACAGCGGTGTGGACAGATCGAGGGGAGAATCGTTTGGATTGTTGGTCGAGACGACGAGGGTATTCGCAAACGCCGCAGCATTGAAGTCGGGTGCGATGAAGGTCTCATAGTCGATGTAGGACGACGACTCCTCGTCCTGGTGCTCCGCCATGGTGTCGCAGCCGTGTGAAGAGCTATCTCAACCAGGCGTTTTAATTTAGGTAGGCCACGCACCAGATGCCCACCTGCACCCTGCAGCTCGCGGGACGGGATTTCGCGGCATGGAATGTAGGGTAGGTTGATCGGACGCGGTACACGGTACCTCGCCTTTCTCGCTTTAGTGGCGACTCTGGCGACTCAGGAAAACGGCAACAGCGGCGTTGCTAGAATTGCGGCTCTGTGATTGGCTGCGAACCCCGGGTCCCACTGAAGGCATTGGAGGCCACCCCCAAATGCCAATGCACCGGATGCGCGATTTGGGAGGGATAATTTGCACTAATATCTCGTCGCCCCAGAATTCCGGGCCGCACACAGCCAATCAAGACGGCGATGGATCAGTCTGTGCCGCTACGTCAGAGGAAATCCCCCCAGCAATGGGCGGACCGGCATGATTTGCAGCAGACACTCCAGACCCTCTTCACGGAAATCCCGGATGTTTTCTGGCCTGGGATTGCGCTTCTGAAAGCCGATGTCCAGATAATAAACCGCAGTCCTCAGCTCGGTTCCCACCCTCCTCTTTCCTCTGCAACACAGTTTCCCTCTTGTCAAGTGTCTGCAGGGAATCTGGGTTCCGTTCGCCATCAGAATTGGCTTTTGTTTTGCTGGTCTTCTTTTTGGCTTCTTCAGCCTGCTTGTCGCAACCGATCGAGAGCATTCGCCAATGTTTTCTCGAGGTCCTGAAGAGTTAATCGAGTCGACTTGAGCCCTTCGATTTCCCCATCGCATACATTCGGTACAGCGACTGGGCTTAAAGCACCCCCGAAAAGAACCCCATCAAAAACAAATCGTCCATCCATCATGGCGGCGTTTCTATTTGGACGATCAACCAATCTCCCCTGGCCCCAGGGTGACAGTGGCAACAGCTCCGACACGATCCTCAGCGGTATTCATTTTAACCTGTCGACCCTTGAATTCTTCAACTATACGCTCTACGGCAATGAAACGCTCTCCAATGGCTCCAGCTGTTATATGAATACTCCAACACTCATCGCCGACTATCTCTACGAAAACGGTTCCTTCGTCAACTCGACGTCATGTTACAAGGCTATCGATCCGATCGGGACACGCGGAATCACGGGTATCGCGATGTGCGCTGCTTTTGGTGTCGCTCTCGTTCTCTCCCTTACGACTCTAGCTAAGCATGGCAAACTGTATATTCCCAAGGACTCAAGGTTTTACCCTATTGGCAGGAGATGGCAATGGTACTGGGCCTTCTTTGTATGCGGCTGCGCTTTTGCTGGTCTCATTCTCAATGTCGACGTGGACCGCTACCGTGTTCAGGAACTGCCCATCATCGTCACCACCTTTTTCTACTACCTGATGTCCCTCGGAACTGTCTGTGTGGTCTGGGAAGCTGTTCGTCACTGGGGAAGTTGGTTGGAGCGGCAATACGTGGATCCCAACCCATTCGTTCTCCCCGATGACGACCGACGCTCCAAAATCGAGTTTTATTTGCCGCTCTGGTTTTACTTCATTGCCTGGATGGTATGTCCCGAATGCATCTTCTCTAGACTCTTAATTGTTAACTTTACTGACCCTGCTTTTCTAGAATTTCTTCATGATCATACCCCGAAACTGGACATTTGCGTACAAGCAAAATGACCCTGATCAGATGGCAACCGAGGCTGAGCCTGCCGCTACTGGCCCTCGATTCAAGGCCGGTGCCTTTTTACTCTTCGTCTGCTGGCTTACCACCTGTTTCTCCATGTGGCATTCCATCAAGCACTACAAGCCCCGCAACCGTGGTTTTTTCAACCGATCTATTGGGCTCATTCGGGCTATTCCTCTCCGTTTCGTATTGATCGTCCCACTCTGCTTGGGCGTTGTTGGATATCAAGCCTTGATCTCTTTCCAGTTCCAATACTCCGTTGTCAAGGCCGATGGACCCGTGCCCATTATCTACGGCTGGGGTTATGGCTGCCCGCTCTTGATTCTATTTATCCAAGTCCTTTACGGCTGGGCCAGTCCTAATGAGGACAAGGAGCTGATCAGGCTGCGTAGAGAGCGCGGACAAGCTACTGACCGTGAATTGGGCATAACAAGAAAGCCTGCTTGGTGGAGTCGCGTCCGAGGCGATCACATTGTGGGATCCTTCCGTGATAGACTGCTCAAGAACGTCCAGGAAGTTGGACCCACCCAAGGAACGGGTCGCAGAGAAGAGGGAGAGATGGAGAGACACATCCGAGAAAACATGCGGGACGAAGCCAGGGACGATGACGGCGACATCGAGCTGCCCAGTCTTCGCAAGAACGAGCACAACCCCCGCGAGGACAGGGCGGGCGTTGGCAACATCAGGCGAAAGTCTGCCGTTGGTCCTGATGGCGAAGAGCGATTGGACCGCGCGACGACCGATCGCGTAATTAACTTGGCGTCCAACATCCTTTTCCCAAATCCCGAGGATGTCGAAAAGAGAGACCGCGAGGCTGAGCTTGAGCGAGCCCGTCGTATTGCCTACCTCCAGGAGGACGGCCCTGCACCACCATCATACTCGGAGCGACAGAGATCAAGGAGGACGAGCAACGGAACGCTCAACTCCGTCAACGCTCCTCCAACCCAGGTCCGAAGCATGTTGGATCTGTAATGAAGCTTCACCTGAGGAGATGTTGAGTGTGTACGCATGTAGGTGATGCATCAGGACAAATGAGACATGATTATCACGCATCCTGGGGTTGCTAGTTTCTCGGCGGTTGTGTTTTGGTTTATACACTTAGAGAGAGGAAGACTTGGAAAATCCATTACCTCAGTCACTTTTGGGTTGGTAACGGCGCGGAAGACTACGTTTTGTATACGATCAATTCAATTTTCGGTTCAGTGTGCAATTGTTCGATATAACTTCATACTACCTATACACTGTTTGTATTAGCTTGCTTGATTAATTTTCGATGTCTGTAGAGTTAACATCGTCTTTCGGTTGAGCACTCTTTATTTACAAACCACCACCAGCCAGGTCGCCGCAGACATAGCTTTCACTTATGATATTGGGATATTTTATCAACTCAATTGGCATATTTATTTCGTTACTTAAATTCTTGTGATGTTTCATATACAATCGCCTTAAAACCGTCCTCTGCGCAAGAACTTGTTGGGGATATCTATATACTTTGCGCGGAGGTACTCGCAAACATTCTTTCCCAAGGTATCATACTCGCTTGTAGAGTTGAACCCACGGTCAAGGTGGTCCCGAAGGAGGAAGTGCACAGCTCGGATACCCGGGATCTCGAATCGCTCGACCTTCCTCCCCTTGTTGCTGCCTTCC